AATGATCAGCTGATGGGCTACTTTTAATTGGAAGACAAACTGGAAGGCTTAATTATGGCAGTTCAGTTGGCTTTTATAGTCGTAGTAGTCTGGGGCAGAACATATTAAACTAAGGGTTTAAATTAGGATGGAGCCTTTGTGATCCTGCAGATAATGTTGGACACAGCTCACATTCCCAATTAAGATGCTCAACATTCAGGAATGATAAAAGCTAAAGTTCAACATCCAGAACCACTTTTGAATTAAATAAAAGTAATCTCAAGAGGGAAGGAAAAAGCAAGTGAGTTCAAAATTTAAAGCTGCTACTACGACTCAATCATCAATCATTTCTGAAACATCAAAAATTAAATTTTATAATAGCATTTTTTGTGGGGTAAAAATTGAGCTATTACTTGCAGATAGGTATGAGTGCTTCTAAATGTTTCATTAAATTATAACCCCTCCTTGAAAAAAATCCCACTGATTTAGTTGTCACACTTTTTCCAAATGAATGGCTTACATTGATACACTTGCTTTGATTGACCATCCTTTTAGTTCAGAAAAGTGGACTACATATAAATTGTAATTTCAGAGGAAGTAAAAGGTAAACATTGTTACATGTATGACAATTTAAAGCTCTCTGAAATAATTAAGACTCAAATCTGGCACAAGTTCATGATTCAAAAAAATGTGGCCATTTATCTAAACCTTGTTGAATAGGCAGGGAACAGATTTTTTTCAGCTGGACCTACATATCTGTTTACTCGGACCACTTGTAGTTTCAAGGAACTTATTTTCTCCAACTGCAGCAAGACTGAGATCAGGTTGACATGGAAAATGTATGTAGTGTATGTGTCCATGAATTTTAATACTACTTCCCACATGTCACCTTCCCAGTGTCAAACCATAGAAACCATAGTATTATTGCATTCATTTTTAAGTGTCTGAATGGCCCCATCATTTTTTTCTCACTTTCTCATTTTCATTCCTACCCATCCGTTCATGTCACCTAACATAGTTTCTCTCCTTGGTAGCATTATCCAGAGTTTGCACATTTTCTCACAAATTCATATCTTGTTTTTCTCTTAGCAACATGTATTGGCATGTAACATGGAATATTATCAGTCAATGGATTCTGATTGCATACATATCTAAAGCAAACTAGATGAATCAATTTATACTTTCTGATTCACACTTTAGCCCTTTCTCACATGTCACCCTTCAGTCATGCTAGCCACAATAGAAATAGAACTCATCTACATGTTTTCCTACTTGAGGATAGAAATGGGGATGGCTACAGGGACTTTCTTGGCTGCACCCTAATTTGTTAATACCTAATTCCTAAAATCTTATGTCTCCTACCTGCAATAAAGAATATGATGAGATACTACATCAATAGTTGGTTGAAAAGAACCACTACTGATAGTTCTCTTTGCCCCTGATTTTAGAACAGTTGTTTTTCCATTCACAAAATATATGACTTTGATTGGGATGCTTACCCAATAAGAAATCCTATTGAAAGAAACTTCTGGGGAAGAAATGGTGAACTGAAGATGACTCCATTGAAACTGGATTCAATGACCTTGTCAGAATAAAGAGCTGGCAAGTAGACTGGCTCTTTGTAATCCCTTTTAGGAGAAGGAGTGGACTTGAAATTGCCCACAAGTGTTCCATACAGTTGCTCCTTGCAAGGAGATTGCAAAACAGCCATCTCTTGCCAATTTGGAGCTGTGGGAGATGAGGGAGAGTCATCTTTGCTCAAACTACGATTTTCATTTTTACAGACCCTGGGTATAGGAATCTTTGGATTGACAGCTTTTATAGTCCCAGGTAAGTTTCCTTCAATCATTAGCAAACAAAGCTTGAAATACAAGTTTTGGAACAAACAGCAAAAGGGTGATTAGAATTTTTGAAAAGATACAAATAGACTAAGGGTCCTGATAGATTTGAAATAAGAATTTGGAATTAATTTTAATAATCCTTCTTGTGAGAAAATGTTTTTGTTTTAAATTCTTTTTAAAAACAAGATAGGATGAAACTTGGACATTAGAGGAGCTAAAGATTACAATTAAAGGAGAAGAACATTTAAACTGGCTTATTGATACAGAATGGAAAAATATCTTAACACTGGATACAATGAAGTTAATTATAAGAGTGTTTGCCTTTAGAGTTTAAAGGATGTAATGGAACAGGAATAAACTTTACTGGATAAGACTAAAACTGACCTGAAAGTGGATTTAAAAATGACAAGCTACAAGAAAAATGTGGGAAAAAGGTGCCATGCTAGATATAAAAAAAAGCTAACTGATATCTTGGTAATTGAAGGAATAATACAAATAACAAACCAAGAGAGTGACCTAGATATTGGATATAAAAAGAGGCTTGTTAAAGCTTTGGAGAATTTTGTGGAAAAGAACAAAGAAAAAATGAACAGAAATCAAGTTCTGGGACATTAAAACGACATTTGAAATGATTAAAGATCAAGATTGTTAAAAGTAAAAGGAAATGTAAAATATAAAGTTGTTTTAGTTGATCAAAGATACAATAGATACGTTATTCTCTCTAGTAATCCTTAATGTTCATTTGCTGACCAGTACTGAACAATGAGTTTTTTAAGGATTTGTTTATAGATAAGAGATGTAAGAAATGATGATGTTACTAAAACTTTTATACTTGTTGAGATGATTTCTTTCCTTTTTCTTTACTATATTCTTATTTTTATTTTCTGCAGAATTTTTTATTTTATTCTTTTATTTCTTTTAGTTTGCATGTTTTATTTTTTAATGATAATTCTAAAAAATATATAATTATATAAAAAGTCATCCTATTGAAAGAAGTTAGACTTATATCTAAACAGCATGATTAATACTAGTGTTTTTCCATCACATTCTGCAAAAGCTATAGGCCAGGCAGAAAAACAAGTTTTTCTAATCATTAAAAGTAACATTTGGGGCTGGGGGTACTATCAAATGATTTTATTTTACTGAAAGATGTGGTTGAAAATATACTTAACAACATGTTGGAAACAAGGTACAGCAAAAAGCTATATATGTAAAGGTATTTTATTTTTGAATTTTAAACATGCTAAATTAACAAAAAAATAGAGAAATATCAGATATCCTCTGAAGACTTTTAATTCCTATATTGGGAACAGTTACTACATAACAAAACATTTTGTTGACATTAACCACCTAAGAACTTTTTTTAAAAAGCCAGTATAATATAATCTAGGTAATGCTTATGTCATGCTTATGTCAATACAAATATCTTTAAAAACAGTAGGATATCTCCATGTGTCTTGCACATAATATGCCTCAAACATAATTATAAAAATACTATTTTTTTTAAAAAAAGAATTCAGTTATGATTCTCACTTTTCTTTGAAATTTTGAGAACTAGTTTTTTAAATCTATATTTCATAGTCTTTTGAATACAGTTTGCATTGTAAATCAGTAATATGACATATCAAATGATAGAAGTATCTTACATGGAAAACAAAATGCAGCTTCAAATATTTGATGAGAGCAAATATTAAAAACCTTAAAACCAGAAGCCATAGGATAGTAGAATGGTTTTCATAGCCAGACTATTCTCTCTAAAGAGGACATTTGACGGGTATGGGCTACCCTAAGAAGCACCTCTCTCTAATGCCTGTTAACCTTAAAGGCCATAATGGTGGGGCAGTAAACAGGTCTTTCAATTTTTTTAAAAAAAAAATACCGAATGGTAATGTTGTTTGGAGTTTTAAAGCATGAAGTATTTCAAATTGAGTAAAACATGAACTGACAATCAGCACAGTTGATGCAGACTGAATGGAATACATTATTTGACTGTCCAGCTTCAAGAAGGATGAGAATCATTAATTTAGTTTGTCGGGTCAATTATTGGAGTAATTTTCAATAGCAGCTCCAAGCAGCATGTAATACAATAACCTGTAAGGAGGACATACTTAATATTAAAACTTCTTTCTCAAGAGTGTGGCATTGCATTACCTGTGATTTTACAGTCAATAATAGAGTTGCAAGTATTTGAGAGAAGTACAACAGCATCCAGCTATTTGGTTCTATTTAGTGGTCATCTGAATTTTTGAAGCCCAGATCTGATAGTCCTATCATGAGTTGTTTACTTCATCAGACATGATAGCAATTCCAATTAAATTTAGTGGGACTCAGTTCTGAGTTTAACTCTCCTCATCACCTTTCATGAATCTGAATATAAGAGTGGACTCTAAAATCAAGATTTCAGTTGTTATGAAAATGTTTGTTTATATCCTGCCTTTGTTATTTTTATAAATAACTCAAGGCGGCTAACATACTACTCCTTTCTCCTCCTATTTTCTCCATAACAATAACCCTGTGAGGTGAATTGGGCTGAGACAGAGTGACTGGCCTAAAGTCATCTAAAATCACTGGCCTAAAGGTTTTCATGCCTGTGAAACTAGAACTTACAGTCTCCTGATTTTTGGGCATGCATCTTAAACAATAGATTTTTTTTTATCAATTAGTCAACGTGAGATTGTTTAAGTTAACACTTTTAATTTGTTTGATAGACATACATTATATTCTTTTAAAATATTCCTTTTGTAGCTTTTACTTAATGGGATAGGTATTTGCATCTGGGTTAAAATATAATATTAACTTTTTTTCCTGAAGAATATTTACCGTATTTTTCCATCTATAAGACGCACCCTTGTATAAGATGCTCTGGCAGGCGAGTTTCTCCACGCCGATCCGGAAGTTTGGTGGCCGACGATCTTGCCCCCTCCCCCCTCCCATTAGTGGCAAGCCCACAGGGGCTTGATACCTGTACCAGGTGGTATGGCAACGCACACAGGCATGCCCTGAGCTGCGGAGGTTACCATTATTTTTCTGTGTATAAGTCGCACCTGATTTTTGAACAGGGTGTTTGCAGGAAAAAATAGTGTCTCATACATGGAAAAATACGGTACTATTAGGCCTTTCATAACCAAGGCCATTCATTTTGCACCATTGTACAACTCTCCCTTTCTTTTCTAAGCTTATAAATACTGATGCACATATTTTTTATTTGATAGGAATTGTTTTACATTATTTTCAGTCTGAAATTATTACTTCTGGTCACCAGTTTTCTTGAAGCCACCCGTAAACATATTCATAAACCAGCAGCATCACCGCACCACCTAGAAAAGAAAGAATTTTTTGGAATACAAAATTTAAGAAGTAACACATCATGGAAGGAATTCTGATTTTTCTATACCAATCAGTTGAAATTATATATAAATAAAGAAAAGTTTGGGTCTTGCAGTAGCAGACAGCTTGATGGGAATTTAATGAATGCAGAACATTAGATTATGTAATATTAGAATCCTATTTTAAAACTAAAATACAAAAGGCAATTTTTCTATGCTTACCTGAACCATGAATATTTTTGATGGAAAATCAGGTAGGTTTTCATGTTTTCCTTTTCAGTTCCACACATATAACATTTTTGGTGCAGAACTTTGTACATACAATATGTATAATACACACAATGTGTACTATGAGAAAGAAGCCATCCAAATGCAGCAAAAGTCTCTTAAATATCTTCACTGAGTCTAAGGCCAAGTTCATCCAACTGTCATTTTACAACAGACTGGGTGAATTTCCCTCATGGGAAAAATTAGGTATGTCTATTAGTTGCTTCATGGACAGAATAAACTTTTTATGAAGGGAATCTCTATTGTAAAAATATTAGGAGAAACTATTTTGTATACTTCATATGAAACACTCTGATAGACCTTTTTAAGATTACACCTTTGTATATGATGTTGATTAGCTAGTAAGTAAGTCAACACAAAGAGAAAAACATTTTGTGTTTATTAGAAGGTGGTAATAGTTTCCTTGTGTTCATCAAAGCTGATCAAGAGACAAAGTGAACTGGAATATCATTCCAGTTCCCATTGTGTATCTGATCAAATCTAATGACCATAGTGGTCAACCAACATAGGAATATTTATAGGAGAGAAATAAATTAATTTTGCTGGTTCTGGTTTTAAACTTCGCATGCTGCTACATACATAATCTGGGGAGCACAGGTGGTCCTTGTTTAATGACCACTCATACAGCAGCTGTTTGAACTTATGGCACTGAATGAGTGGTGGTTATAACAGTTCTTTGTAGTTACGGCTGTTGCTGAATCCCACAGTCTCATGATTGTGATTTGCAACCTTCCTTGCTGGCTTCTGACAAGCAAAGTCAATAGAGAAGCTAGTAGGATGTTGATGGTAATGGCAGCTGGGACTTCCGGAACTGCTATTGCTAAGTGGTATAGACATGTGAGGGTTTGTTTTTTTTCAATTTATGAACACATCTCCCAATGATGCAGCTCCTGGTCCTAATTATCATCATTAAGCAAGGACTATCTGTATACAAAACTGTGAAATGAGTAAATAAATAACACGTGAATCAATTTTTTAAATTCAGGATCAGATAAATATATCCACGTTAGCATTTTTACTAAGACAGTCTTTTCCAACTATGTGCCTTTCAAATGTGTGGATTTGCACCTTTATCTATGGCCATGTTGACTAGGGAATCCTGGGAATCCACCTATTTGGAGGAAGTGCTGGGTGAAAATATCCCAGCACTCAACTTCCCACTGTTCCTTCAGTGCGCTCATTTCCACCCATTAACTTTTGTATATACAATTAAAGGCCTATGTAACAACTAGAATAAAATAATAATGACACCATCTGCCAAAAGATGTCAGCTTGATTTTGCAGATTAGCTATAATAGAAGGAAGATACTGTAAGTTAAAACTAAAATCTGCTTTGACGTCTAGCAAATAGGGTAGGGATAGCTGGTTTGGGTATGTCCTTGTACCAGATTTTTTTTCTATGTTCTTGCCTTAATTTACTGTTGACTGAGCAGTGAGCAATTATGAGGGAGAGAAAGAAAGCAAAAAACAATAATAATATAGTATATAATAAGAAACATTGTATCAATCTATGTATTTGGATTTTGAAGTTACTGACTAAAAAAAAGCTACAGTGGTACCTTGGTACTCATTGTTAATTGGTTCTGGAATGCATGATGAGTACCAAAAATAATGAATACCAGACACATTTTCCCCATAAGTGAATCACAAGGCAGCTGACACTGTTAAGCTCTAGTTTGTGCAATGAGTACCAAACAAATGATGAGTACTTGGATAAAATTTTTACTTCAAAATGTGTTGAGTACCAAATTCGATGAGTTTCAAATCAGTTGAGTACCAACTGTATATACATAGGATCATGATAGCATTAAGAATGAATGAGAAAAGATTTACCTGGTCCTAGCCTCATGATCTTGGGAACCAATCCTTTGTACAAAGCTAGAAATCTGTAGAAAAACAATGAAAAATGTTAGTTATATTGATCCATTTTCTTGACTGCCCATCAGTCTCCTTGCAACAAAACTTGAACTTAGCTGGCTTATGTGCTTCTTTGAAAAGACAACAGATACTGAATTCCTGACAGAATATTTTAGTGAATAGTAGGGAAGTGTTGTCTTCATGCAAGGTTGAAAGCATTTTTCTATCCTTTCTGAAGCATGCACACTTCTAATGGCTCTACTTTAACTATGTGGTGATTGAGTTCTCCCTTTAGACTATTTGCATACATGAAGTTTGGAATCCTGATGCTATATTGTTCCATGAATACACCAAGATCATGTCCCGGATTAATTGTATAGCAGTTCATTAAACAAGCAGATGATGCATTCTCATTCCTCTATAGGCTAGGATAGAATACTTACTAAAATAATTTGCAGAAAGTTAGAAAAGGGGGAGGAAGAATGGCATTCTCTGAAGTAGTTCTTAGGATGACTTTGATTCTTCTGAAGTCTGATACCATACTCTTTGATATATGACACATCTTTTTCTAGTCATTCTGTATAGTTTGCATACAGAAATAATCGGGTTCTTTTCAACCCACAGTTTTCATTGTGACCTCTAACATTCTTGTATCCTGGTCTCCACTAACCCTCTTTGCAGAGAGAGCTTGTAGAAACCTCTGAATGCTTTTCTCCATTTTGAAAGATGTTGACAACCTGTCTTTCCTCAATCCCAGTTTGGGCAAGTAGAATGTTTTTAGTATTTACAATTGAAACAATAATATAGGCTACCTTGATGCTAAAAAAAAGCCCACCTTTGCCCCAATGCACCAACTGATACTAAGGTGTATAAACTGAACCGTTTGCTTTTAGAACACTAGAATCTTTTCAGAACAATATAATAAGAAATTTGTAAATGAAAATTCAGAAAACTCAGGCCAAAGAATAACTCTCTTTTAATTTCATATGTACTTTTTGAATTGTGAAGCTTTGAAAATGTTTGCTATTCAAATATTATGTAGAGAGAATTTTAATGACCTGATGAAATCTGCAATGTTGCATATTGCACATCTGCAATGTGATTTTATGAACAAGCCAGAGTCCTAGATATTTACTACTGAAATGAATGCTTTACCCTTCTTCTTTATAAACGGTTTTCATCGTTTCAAAACAGGTCCTGTACTTGATTTCTCCGGGCATGGGCTGTGGTCCTTGAATCCTACTCTTTGCAACATCAAAAGGGATGTTAATAATTGAGGCTATGGTTCCTGAGGCTAGCCCAATTCCAAACTTTCTCAGAAACTCCAATGTTGGATCCTGGATAAATAAATAAGCAAACCAACAAAATAGCTGAGAGAAGAGAAGGAAAAGAATGACTGACATAAAATGAACCAAGTTAAAATAGGAACAGAAGCACCTCAATTGGTTAAAGGCTATGAAATAATATGCATTTAATCAGAAAGCTTGCATGATACGACACACTCCCGCTATTCTAGTGGAACGCATTAGGATTTCCAATGCCAGGGCTCCTTTTCTTGACAATCCGATTGGCTATGTTTTTACACATGGTCTAAATTGCTGAAGTACACATTTCCTCACACAGGATTTATAAACACAGTTCATAAAAGCAAGACCAGTACAGCATATGGGGATGATTTGTATAATTGGGCTTCACAATGTACTTAGTATTACTGTATCAAAACGGGAGAAATCTAAGCACACTATTAGCTAATTGGCCAGAATATTTTACAAATGACAGCAACTTCCACCATGAAGCCTACTAAAATGCTCATTTGTGCACTGGACCCCCAAATGTTAAATTAAATAAAGGCTAATCTCGGTCTGCTGCCTTCCCCTCCAGGTTTTTTTTTTTTTTACATTTAGCTTTGCATGTAGCTGATGCGCTGTAGCAAGGGGGCCTGGCTTCCTGCTATTAACAATCCAGCAACAGTGGAACTGCAGAGCAGATTTTTATGCTCTTCCGTATTAGGAACAATAGTAACTCATGAAACTAATTGGCTGAAGAATGTACAAAACATTTTGTCCAAAGCCTACAATTTTGCCCTGCTTTGAAAAATTCAGAAACTAGCTGTACAATAAAGCCAGTCTTGAAGCAACCACTTTCTGCATGTCCTGACACAATCCAACAGTTCATACTTTTTCAGATGGCCTTCCTACCAAGGACATTAGCTTACTGAGGGTAAAATTTCTTTAATAAAGTTTTAATCTCATGTGTGTGAATACTGGAAATTGTGAGTGAATTCTGTTATGCTAAATTTGCTGTGGAGCCTATTGCAGTATACAACTTAAAAAATATATATCTTTTTCCATTTTGGGCCATGCAAGTACTGAGAAGCCCCTGCGTGTCTTTCAAATGTATGATGTAATTTGCTGAATGAAGGTCTTTCAATGCAATCTTTCCCAACTTGATGTCTTTCCAGATGGGTTGGATTCCAACTCACATTGGCTTCACATTGCCCTCACATTGTCCATATTAGTTGGAGCTGTGACAGTTGTAGTCTATAGTAACTGCAAGGCACCATATAAAGAAAAATGTCTTACAGCAGCCTCATGGAGGAGGATGCCAGATTTGATGTGCTCCTCAATTCTCAACAGTTGAACAAATATGGACAAACCTTGAAATTCAAACCAAATACATTTTTCATATTAGTACCATTTGGGCTTGGAAATACATAATGTCCCAATTAACTTCTAAAAGACATATACGACTGAATCTATCAGTACTAGAATTAGTATTTCCAGGACGCAAATTTTAATGCCCTATCCTATGGGGACATAGTTTCAGTGCAAATCTGGTTTTCAAGAATCTGCCTACTTTCAACTTTTCCTATATAGAGATCCTGTCTCCTCCTGTTTATGTTCCTTTGTGAGCATAGCAACAGTTTCATTATTCTGATAGATATATTCTTCTAGTAAATATAACACAGTGCAATTATAGGTTAAAGGGCAAATACAAGTTAAAGGGTGTTTGGCGTTCAAACACTAACATTTGCTTGGTGAACTCATTTGTCGGCTCCGATAAAGTCCATTTGTTCACAGGTACATTAACTTATCTTATGTAATACTATACTGCAGGGTTGTTTTTTTTAAAGCTCACCTCTGTCACATATGCACTCTGTAGCCTTAAGACAAGCCATTTGCCCTCTTAGGTCAATACTGTACTTCCAAGCAAAGTCAACTAAATGTCTTGAACATGTTTCTTTATCATTATAATTTCAATTTTCAAGGCTGCTCACTTGCTGATGGCCTTGGGAGGTTTACAGGAGGTTAAAAGAAGTAATAACAGCCAGTACAAGAATAAATAAAAAATGATCATGTTGGGAGAAAAAAAAAATCAGTTCAAATGGTGGATTCAAATCACATCTTGGTCCAGTGCCTGGGGAAAAGGTCAGACTTTCAGGTTTTCTTAAAGGAAGTAGGGTAAGAGTCACAAGGATCTTGGGTTTAGATCAGGGGTAGTCAACCTTGGCTCTTTTATGACTCGTGGACTTCAATTCCTAGAATTCCTGAGCCAGCTTAGCTTAGCTGGTTCAGGAATTCTGGGAGTTGAAGTCCACGAGTCATAAAAGAGCCAAGGTTGATTACCCCTGGTTTAGATGTAAGACATGAGAGCATTATTATTCCTTTTGGAAGGTCCATAGGCCAGCTTTGGAAAAATGGAAGTTATGGAAGGAATTGGGTGTCACCTGTAGTATTCTCAGTTTTTTCAACTGTTTGAAAAAAGTTGGAACAATACCCATATCTCAGGTCAGTGAAACAGTTTAAAATAATACACATACCTTATTGGCAGGAATGATGTTTTTCACGTTGAAGTAGAATCCAAAATAGACCATATTAAAAACTCCATGACGTCCCAAAGTAGCAGTCAGCCCTTTGTTGAGTCCACTCAAACCCCACCCATTGGCCTGAATAATTTGCTGAGCTTTAGCAAAGGTGGATGGTTGCTATACAAATAAAGCAAAAGACAAAACTTTTCTATAAATATTTCAATAGTGTGCATAGCTGGCTTCAATCACTCAAGTGAGTTTCCTTATCTGGGAACAGACTTGAATCTCGATCTCTCCAGAACAGAATCTTTCTAAGTCTGTCTCACATTCAGAACCTCTATTCATCCTTGTATCTTTCACTCATTATTTTAATCCTTCATCATGAGCAATAAAATCAATCATGTTTTTTATTCATTCTTTCCCCAGATGTACATATAAATAGATTTATGCTCATGTTCAAAACAAACAGAACTTTTTCTAAGCAGTTCTGCTCAGGGCTTTTTTTCTCATAGAACGCCCTGAACGGAGTTCTGGCACCTTTTTGGGATGGAACCTTGTAGGGTAGGCAAGGCGGGTTGTATGACGTGTGTGAGTTCCGGCACCTTTTTTTTTTTTTTTTTTTTTTACAAAAAAAGCACTGGTTCTGCTTAACTAATACCATCCTCATTCATTTTTGGGTCTCTGAATGGCTCCATCATTTTTTCTTTGCTTTCTAATTTTCAGTTTTTCATTTTGAATTCCTAATATTTTTCCTCCTTGATGTAATTTATCCAGATTTTGCACAGTTTTTTTTTTACCAACTTCATCTTTTGTTCTTTTAGTAATGTTTAGTGGACTGTAACATTGAATATCATGAGTTAGAGGATTCTGATTTCATATATATCCAAAATAATCTAGATGATCCAATTCACACTTTCTGATATACAGTTTAGCTTTTTTCTTAAACCTATACCTTCACTTCCCTGTATATCTGGCAAAGCAAAATAATAATAATAATAATAATAATAATAATAATAATAATAATAATAATAATAATAATAATAATAGTAGTAGTAGTAGTAGTAGTAGTAGTAGTAGTAGTAGTAATAATAATAATTATTATTATTATTATTATACAAAGAAGAGGGAGTCAAGCTATTCTCCAAGGCGCCTGAAGGCAGGACGAGAAGCAACGGGTGGAAACTAACCAAAGAGAGAAGCAACCTAGAACTAAGGAGAAACTTCCTGACGGTTAGAACAATTAACCAGTGGAACAACCTGCCTCCAGAAGCTGTGAATGCTCCAACACTGGAAGTTTTTAAGAAGAAACTGGACAGCCATTTGTCCGAAATGGTATAGGGTTTCCTGCCTGAGCAGGGGGTTGGACTAGATGACCTCCAAGGTCCCTTCCAACTTTATCATCATCATCATCATCATCATCATCATCATCATCATCATCATCATCATAATGTTGGAAGGGACCTTGGAGGTCATCAAGTCCAACCCCCTGCTTAGGCAGGAAACCCTATACCATTTCGGACAAATGGCTGTCCAGTCTCTTCTTAAAAACTTCCTTCCTCTTTCTCTTAATTTCACAGACAGACAACTTATCTGTGTGACTTTCATTCATTTCCTTCTTTAATCCATCCTATTTACCATAAATGTTTTTTTTTTCTTGTTTTTCCCTTTGAAAAGTTTTCCTTCTCATCCAAAAACTGAAGAAACTTCTTGGATGAGAAGTGAAAACGTTTTCAAAGGAAAACAACAAAAAAAGTCCAGTTGCTTTTTGGAAAAAGCACTTTTGGAACAAGGTTCAGCAGGGATTCAGTTACAAGCCCAGTTGCTCTTGTGCTCCGTGTAGCATTTCTGCTAACAGTAAAAACAATAAAGCTCGGTTTGGGCATATTTTGGCTAATGCATCGTGCGCGGCCAAAGCCCAGGTTTACTCTAAGTACGCACATGCTGCTATGCAAGCTGGGATCTCTAATCTAGAGACTTCTTTGTAAGTCCACGTATGGCTGCCTGCATATTATTTCCTGCATTTCCCCAGCTAGAAGGTTAATGCATCATACTGATAAATACTTAGAATTCCTAGGTCCTTAAGTTTTCAAAATTCCAACCCTAGCCAATGCATTAGTGTGGAAGATTTTTCACAATTGTTTAGCCCCAAATTATTATTTTTCTATCAAGGTTTTATTTGCTTAGTTTTGCTGTTCACTAAAGTTATATTTGTGTAATCAAATATTTAATTAGAAAGGCAAAACAAGACTGTCACAAAGATGCTTATACAAGGAAATAAAGACCATTTTGACTACAGTTCTTTAAACTATGCTAATGTCATGTATTCATTTGTTTGATGACAAAATGTCATCAAAATAAATCACCCAAATGAATCTTGCCATATTAAAGTCATCTGGTTTGTGCTTATTCAGGTGACAGTCAGGTTGGGTAGTCTTTTAATAATATTGCTTCATTTTTATTTACATACGTTTGCCAGATATTTATAACCTGGTCTGGTAAAAACCAATGCAAAGAAGTTAATGTCTGCTGACTAGGCCTAGAGCAGGGATAGGCAACCTTGGCTCTTTTATGACTCGTGGACTTCAACTCCCAGAATTCCTGAACCAGCCATGCTGAAGGGAAATGGAGAGGTTTCCAAGCTGAGCCATGCTGGCTCAGGAATTCTGGGAGTTGAAGTCCACGAGTCATAAAAGAGCCAAGGTTGCCTACCCTTGGCCTAGAGAGAGGAGACTTCGACTCAGTTAATGGAAGCTCACCATTAGTTGAGCCATGAATTAAAGCAGACACTCTCAATTCAAGCTATCGCTATTTGGAAGAGAAACAGCAGCTGGCAGCACCCTGCTAATTTTGACTTAGCATCTTGAAAAGGCTAAGAAGGATCAGATTCAGTTACTGCTTGGATGGAAGATGACCAGGGAATACTAAGGTGTTATAGATCAAATTGAGAAGTAAAAAATGCACCCCAGAAGGTAGTAGTGGAAGGCCACCTCTGCACTACTGTCAGGAGACCTACAAGGATGTCTTTGTGTAGTTACCAGGAGTCAAGCTAAGTTTGAGGGAAACTCTACCTCGGGGGTCCTCAACCTTGGCAACTTTAAGACTTGTGGACTTCAACTCCCAGAATTCCTCAGCCAGCTTTGCTGGCTGAGGAATTATGGGAATTGAAGTCCACAAGTCTTAAAGTTGCCAAGGCTAAGGACCCCTGCGAGTCTACCTTATCCATTTGAAAGAGGGAACACATTTGTAGCATATTGTTTTGAACTCCTAGAGGAATTAACACAGTCCCATTATAGCAATTATTATATTGCTATAATCATATTTGGGTGCTGCAGAGATTTGCTTGAGAAATTATTTACTTATTATTGATAATTATTCACTTAGCTCATCTTGAAACATATGAATCAAGAACTAATAAATTTGAGTTTTCAGTACTAGTTAATTATGGACTTAAAGGAGGACCCTTCTGACAAATTTTAATCTAGTCTGGTTTATTCTATTCATTTTTCTGATTTCAGCAAGAGAAAAAAAAGCCCTTGGTATATTCATCATTTTGCTTGTCAATAAATTTGTGGATTACCTTTTATTAAATTATTTATTCTTATTAAATGAATTTTGCAGCTACCCTAAAAATTAAGCCAGCAAAACTACCTTGCCAATTACCACGTCCTTCAATAAACCTTGCTAGCATTTTTTTTTAAAATTAAAAAAAAATTAGTAAAGGATTTTCTACCACTTTTCTTTCTTTCCTTTCCTTTAGAAAATTCTTGAACATATTCAAACATGTCAAGACGTATTGTTCACAGAGCGATTCAGTTCTATTGCATTTGAAGTCAAACACCATGTTTATTTACTTAAGAACCCTGTAGAGAAATCATAAAGAACAGCAGAATCATTAAGTTTCAGAAGGGGGTTGTGAAGTTCCCCTGTGAGTTTCTGAATGTTCCTATATTATAAATGCACTTGCTATCTGTACTCTAAAGCAGCCCTTCTGAGGTGGAAAGGTTTCTACTTTAGAAAGTTGTTTCCTAAACCAGGATTGCTTCGCAACTATTTAAGTATGTCACTTTGGTATGCGCCATGTTATCAGATTGCAACCTAAATCTACAATTCCAAATAGAGTGTATTTTCAATAATTAAATTTGGTAGAAAACAGTGGGACTTGTGCTGGGAATATTTCTGAATAGTTTTTAAAATGCAACTGCTATTAATCTATCTGCAAGAGTGAAAATGGACTGGAGAGGGCACTTAATTACCTCCTCTGTTGTAAGAGTAAGGAGAAATCTCATTTCTGAAGGTAATCATGCCAAAGGGGCATTTCATCCCAAAGTGAGTATCGCTCATAGATATGGCAAGCTTGACCTTCAACACAGGGGAAATTAGAACAGTATCTGAAAAAATGGAATAAAAATGTTTAGATACGGTTTAAATGAAGAGAACATCGGTGGACAAGGCAGTCTCTGAAATTTTTACTTCAGAATGCCAAATAAGAATTCTACACACAAGAGGATGGGGCACAGTCTTCACCTTCCTTACTGTGTCACATAGCTTTATATTTAAAATTCAGGAAACTTAAAAGTAGTTTGTGAGAAGGCATATTTATTACTTAAAGAGACCAAAATAAATAAATAAACAAACAAACAAACAAACACCTAAAAATTTTCAGCTGAGAACTCCCAATCTTTTAAGTACACATAGAAAGCGTGTTTCGAACCTGTTCAATTCTTTGGGTCTTTTTTTTAATGGTGCTTTCATCATAAACATCATTGACTCCTGGCAACTGCCTAGGCAAGTCCCTGCAGTTTTGTTGGCAAGATTTCAGAAGTGGTTTGCCATTACCAGCTTCCTAGGGCTGAGAGAGTGAGAGTGACTGGTTCCAACCACTACACCAACCTGCCTCTCTGTTTAGTTCAGTGCTTGAATATATAATGACTAGATTGTTATTATGTGTGATCAGGAATACAGGGTTGTAGAAAGGGAGGTTTTTTTCAATATGTAGAAATTTATTGATTGACTGTTGGATAAATCTGTTGGTATGAATATGTGGAGAGAGAAATCAACTATGTATGTTTGGTTCTACTTATGTTGGGTTGCCACAAATAAGAATAAAGCTTAGTATAATACAGAAGCTACACTTATTAAGTGCATAAGAATCTATTACATCTGGCATCTGGATACCACCTCCAAACATACATGTTTCTCACTATGTCTATAGTTGTTAATGAATCAGGGGAACTGGACAGCAGAGGTGATTCCTTTGATGAATTCACACACTCATATCCACTAATGGGTTACATGACAGAGTTAGAATCACCTAATGTCCTACACCAAGAAATATGGTAGCTTACCGAGGCTATGACATTTAAACTTCTAATGCTTCTTTCCAATAATTCATTTTTTATTATACTGAGAATGCTTGGGAAACTCCATCACAAAATTTTGAAGCATCTCAGTTGAGTACAGGACAGGACTTGGCAAGGTAAGTTAGGAGGAAAAAGCCTCTTTTCCCCCCCCTTCGGTTCCCTCTTCTGATAGAACCTGAAAATCATTTTTTTATTATAGCATAAGATAATCTTAAGTTCAGGACTCATTCTTAAAACATTTCCTCTCCAGTATATTCTATCATATATATGGTTAGCTTTGCCAGGTATTTTGATGAGACACTTATACTGGGATCACCATTTATTTTTAACCAACTCGAGAAATTCTCCCTCCCCAGAGCTTAATGAAGATATATACATATAATTCAACAATTCCATTCCCCAACATATTAAAAAAAATATCCCAGTTACTCTACCTCTTTGAAAGCATCCCGATTTGCCTGGAGGCTAACCTTGACTACTTCAAAAGGGTTAACCACAACTGCTTCTGTTAGCCCGGATCCCAAGCCCGCAACTGCAAATGTCTAAAAGAGTTAAATCAATCAGTTTTCATGCGTTATGGTAAAACATCTTCTTACATCACTTTGTAAAACTGAGCATTAAGCTGACCAATATAATGAAAGTGGAGAGACCAACTCTTCTGCAGTAGTATACCATTCCTAAACAGCTTTCGTCCTTGATTAGATGTTGACAGTTCATGCAGAAAAAATCACAAAAGCCACAAACCACATTCCAAATATTCAAAATAAAATGTCAAAGTCCTATCAACAATGCATTTCCTTTAGATGGAAGAAAGCTTTGTGACTGTTTTAAGAAATACATATGGGGAAAAGCATATCATCCACTTCCCATTTAGGAAGAAAGCACTGCTGGATCAAGACTAATTTACCCATTATTATGTACATTGTGTACTCACAGAAACAATTCTTTTTATCACTTATAAGAAGCATATAAAACAAAGGGCTAGCTCAATAATTCTAATGCCAAGAATATATAGTATAATGTTGCTATATTCCCAATTAAATGAAACAATTCATTTAAGTAAATTCTCCATGATAAACGTCATAACTGAAGACATAATTGACTCAGTAGTACTGAGTCAGATGTTCCATTTAAGAAATCAACTATGATATCTAAAAAAAATACAATCCACTGAAAACATCTAACAGCAGACCAGAAAACATTGTACAATAGTTTAAAGGACGCTTATCTGTACTGATATATAGGTAGTCCTTGACTTACAACCATTTGTTTAGTGACTGTTTTTAACATTACTACAACACTGAAAAAAGTGACTTATACCCAGTCTTTGCACTTACGACCATTGTAGTATTCCCCATAATCATGTGATCAAAATTTGGGTGCTTGCCGACCAGCATGTACTTACGATGGTTGCAGTGTCCTGGGGTCATGTGATCATCATTTGTGACCTTCCCAGCCAGCTGCCATCAAGCAAAGTCAATGACCTCATGATCCATTTAACAATTGCAGTAATTTGCTTAATAACCATGGCAAAAAAACCCTCATAAAATTGGGTGCCACACACTTAACAACTGCCTTGCTTAGCAATGGAAACTGGAAGTGGCCCCAGTTGTGGTTGTAAGTCCAGTATTACCTGTATTCACACACACATGTACACCACAAAACATACTGAAGAATTATTCCAGAGAAGTATTTCTTTGGATTCAGCAGCTATAAGATACTGAAAGTGCACTGTGATTGTGGCTTCAAGACACACATCCCACACCCTCCACTTAGGATTCTGGACACACATAAACATTCCCAAAATACACTTTTACCAATATAAATAATATTCACCAAAAGTCCAGCACATATTGAAATGGTGCTTAAAACGTATAAAGCAGCATCAAGACTTTTGTAATCCTTGTATCTTCTAGAATAAGTAGAAACCTGAAATGAGGATCATTTTGGGAAATGCTCGAAACTTTGTAAATGAGCCAGAAAGAGAAAAATGGGAAAATTGCAATGTATAGGCAGAAATAATTAAATGTAAATTTGGCTCAAAACTAAACATACTTATCTGGGAGTATACCCTACTACTACTAAGGACAATGCAGTCTGAGCAAAGTTGCATAGCATCTGTGGAATGAAACATTTGGGGTTTTGCAATTTATAAATTCCTCAGAATAATCTCACAATATTATTCTACATATTGAATAAGATGCTGTACATCAGGGGTCCCTGACCCCTGGTCTATGGACCGGCACCAGTCTGTGGCATGCCAGAAACCGGTCCGTGCAAACAAGCAAAGCCCCCACCTGCAGGATGCAGGCAGCACATGAAACTATGCCCCCTCTGGGCTACAGAAAAACCTCACTCCATGGAACTGGTGCCCAAAAAGTTAGGGGCTGCTGCTGTACATGATCTATATTTTTTTTCTGAGCAGCCATGATTCAGACTTATAGTCATTTATAGTACAGACTTATAGTCCAACATAGAACAAGCAGCATAAGCCTGACTCTTCCAAGACACTCACACTCAGAGAAATCTCAAAGCAGAGCTTCTTCTACTTTATCAACATTGGATAGGTAGACAGTGCACTAGGAAGGGTTATATGGGAGATGGAATATTATATGCACCTCCAAACTTTTCATTCTAATTGGCAATTCCATCTGTGGAAAGGGGTGAGTGGGGCTTGTGGTCAATTGGTCCCTAGATGACTTACTAGGTTGGGTTGCTTCTGACTGGAGCAAGGCCTGGAATTACTTCTCAGGAATCAGATGTTTCCCTTCACTTTACCACCCTCTCCTTTAAACCCAGATAGCCCTTTATAGGAAACTTTGAAATTTAGTTCTTTTATTGGGATACAGAACCGCCAGCTCTTAACAGAATTGGAGTCACTGGGGGCCTTTTTTTATCCACTTAATGTCTGACTATTTGTAAATGTCAATCTGCAGTGGTAATCTTCCATGAAGGACATTGACCCTAACCATTTCTAAGAGTGAGCATTGGGGAATATCTTGAAGTGCTTCCCCATCAGAAGTAAGGATTTTGAGGACTATTGGATGACATGCTTGTTGTTTGGCTGAATACTATATCATGTGCGGAATCAATTCTCCCCTAATGTATGCGAAGAGGCCTTCTTTTCCTGAGGGTCCTCTTTTAGTGCTTACTTCAGCTGAAACCCTTGAGAAAAATTAAACTTGTTGAACATTGGAGTTTCACAGTTAATTTAAAATTTTGAAATATTTTCTGAAGTTCCTTGGGTCAAGAGGTTTTGTAGGGTTGTCCTCTGAGTGAGTTCATTTAAAAGAGCAACAATATATGACAACTTAGGTATAATCATCTATGCCAGCCTATTATCCCGTTAGACCAGGGGTAGTCAACCTTGGCTCTTTTATGACTCGTGGACTTCAACTCCCAGAATTCCTGAGCCAGCTAAGCTGGCTCAGGAATTCTGGGAGTTGAAGTCCACAAGTCATAAAAGAGCCAAGGTTGACTACCCCTGCTTTAGACTATAGTTTTGTTTCCGGGTTGAACCGATTTGTGAATTGCTTCCACCTTCTCAGTTTGTGTTCTAAAGATTCTTTGAGCTACTTTAAAGCTGTGATACCTTACTTTCAGTTGGGCCCATGGGGAGTTGGGCGATACAACAGTAGGTTATTTTCCCTGCAAACACTTAAATACTTTATGCAGGTGTGCTAGATATTCTTGCCAAGTGCTGTTGAAAATCATGATGTCATCTAAATAGACAATAGTATATTTTTTAATTTTCCATGCTGCCCAGAACCCAAACAAGTGTACTTTTCCTTTGCCCAATTACAGTATCATAGTCAATTTATAAGGCATGATAATTGCAAATTGGCCAAGTTCATGCTGCAGTGGTTTTGGAACTCTCTGTGCAATCTGATCATACAGATAATGAAGATCCAGCATGTGGATTACAGGTTGAACATGCCTTGCATTAAGCATTCCTAATCCAGTAACTGCCTATTGGACTGAAACCATTCACTGATGGGTATTACAGACTGTACATCTCCTCTTTACTCTTCTTAGCAATCAAGTATGTGAGATCTGTAGAGGTTCTGCCTGACATGGACATATTTTTCTTCCAAACTCTTCACACAGAACGCCTCTTGCCATTTCCCTCTGCCATGGCTTTATAAATATGCTGTAACCTATGAAACTCATTGAGCCACTATATTACTCATTCAGAGTATACTGAGAAGCTTATCCTAGTACATACATCTGCAAGATGAATTACCATTTTCTCTGTTAAAAAGATATGCAGAATCTTTAATAGTTTACGTACTTTGTGTTCTTTGGAAAATATGGAAGTCCAATAAAGGGAGTATGAGAGGGGATCTTTCATGAGTCAGAGACAATTACAGTGATGTAATAGTAATATGGTAGTTAAACACAATATGTTAAAAAATGATCATGTCCATTTCATTTAAACCTTCATTTCCACTGGCTGTTAATGTATATTTCAGTAGTTTTCCGGTTTATATGATACACAAGTATATGACATACTTCTTATGCTTGTCACAACATTTCCCCGAAAGAGCCAAAAATCCAGCAAATATGCCTAGTTTCCTTAACTAAAAAAAATATTTTCCAGATGATCAGGATTTGTTGATAATTGCCCCTTCCAATTGCATTTTTCTAACAATTTAAGAGTCAGCTATATGGATTGATGGCTGAGCAGCCAACTTTCTAGGATTTCTTAACATTCATACTATCCAAAAAATCTTAAAGCAGATTTTCTTCCCTTGCCCAAGCAAGGGTCACAGAGGGAAGGGAAATAATTTCATGACTTTTTACTAATCAGTTGAAGCAGGATTACCAGCATAGCTGGAGCTGGATTCTTTTCTTTTTCCTTTCTTTCCTTTTCTCTCTTCCCTCCCTCTCTTTGTGTCAGAAATTGCATCCTTTTCTTCTTCTTCTTCTTCTTCTTCTTCTTCTTCTTCTTCTTCTTCTTCTTCTTCTTCTTCTTCTTCTTCTTCTTCTTCTTCTTCTTCTTCTTCTTCTTCTTCTTCTTCTTCTTCTTCTTCTTCTTCTTCTTCTTCTTCTTCTTCTTCTTCTTCTTCTTCTTCTTCTTCTTCTTCTTTTGAACTTTTCTACAAAAAATTCAGCAGAATGATTTCAGGAGGTTTTGGAGATGCTCCAATGGATCAGGAGGCTGCATGTTTCCTGTGGACTGTGATTTGCCTTCCTTGTTCACATAAACAATTATACTGAAATCCAGGCTGGCGAGAGCAAAGGCTCCATTTGTACAGAATATTAGAGCTTCCTGTACAACTAGGAGCCATCTGAAAAGTCTCCTCCCAAAGCTGAAGGTGCTGCCAACAGAGAAAATATCTGCTCTTTCTTCACTACATAGGAAGGATTGGAAAGTGTCTATCAAAATGACAAAAACAGCATTGCATCTTTCCAATGCAAACTTTGCCTGCTATGGCCACACACATGCACATACTAATCGGTTTATATATGAATAAAATAATTTGTTATTAGTATCTGGAGCATTGGTATCTCATTTAGTTTAACTTTGCCTTTCTTCCTATCTCCCCTGTCTTACCTAATTTGAAGACAGCATACTATGTAATGTATTATATTATATGTATTTGTATATTCTGAATTGCAAACTATCACTTACCAAAGCTGGTGATAGAGAAACATTTCCAAGTATTTTCTTGTACTGTTCAAAGGTGAAGAACTGGAAAGTAAATAAGGAGAAATTTAAAACTTGAGGATAGAGATTGTATCATAGAAAGCTGTTTACCTTTATTAGTCTAAGGAAAGACAAAGAATGATTTGATTTGGTTGTACGTTGTTGAATGATTAGTGTTACCCACATGGTTTTCATTAAAACTGAATCAAACAAATGTTCTCAGATCATTTAAAACATTTATTGGAAAGATACAGTACACACACACTCACTCACACACACACACACACAGAATGCTATTATACAAATACCCAGTCAAATTTATAGTAGTTTCATATCTCAGTATTGTCCTCTTTAAACTTTATACTCCTTTCATCATGCTTTACTTCAAAGAATAAACTACCTTCTCTCATGTGTTTAGTTTCTTATTCCAAAAACAATATTTCTTTTAATAAAGTACAAAAATCTTTTCTATTTATTTCAGTTAGTGAATACAATATGACCTTTTCTCTTTCTTTTTACTGTTTAGTATGAAAAAATCTGTTGATAGTAAAATTAATAGTATCATGTAATCACTGTTGTAGCAATTAACACAATTCAAAATCATTCTAGATTTTTCTACAAGGATATTCTGGTTTATTTATGTCTTGATGGTCTGTTTCAAAGAATGGGATTATGGAGCTGCAATGGAAGAGGAAAAGTGGCAAAAACTAGACACATATTGATCTGGTACTGATTCTCAATTGCTGATTTGTTCTAAACCACCTATTCTCTTCACCTATTTGTATCCAAGACTTCCATGTTTGAGGTGGCTACTGCTGAGACATTAGCATTATGCACATTACACCTGTTTGCCTTTCCATTGAATTTTAGACCACTACTCATCAAAATAAATAAATCCCAGATCTTTTCCAAATACTATCTATTGGTAACTCTGTAAAATGCATACAGGCCAGAAGTCTCCAGAGTTAGCACTTCAGATGCAAATCCACAGCACAGATCCAGATGCAGATTTACTTGTTAGTAAAAACTTTTAAAATTAAAGGACAAAGAAAATAAGGCATAGGGAAGAGAGAAGTAGCCAATCAGCAGGTTATTGGCAAGAAGAGCACTTGGTGGTGTATTTTTATTTATTTCAATTTGTTATAACAATTCATCTCTAACAAATAGGAGGTTGGCTGAGCTGAACATCTAAGGGCATTTGTAAAGGAATGCAAATTATTTTATTTTGTTCAGAAGCCTAATAACAATATTGATACTTCAATGAACAAATCAGAAATGTCTGAAGTTCAAGCAGCTTTTGTGGTAAATAAATGACTTCTAAAGTATTTATAGAATGAAATATAATACAAGTATTAAGAAAATGCTCCATAGCATTTTTCACTAGCATTAAACATTGTGCATCGCAGCTAATTCATTAACAACTATTAAAATTAACTTAATTGTAGTGCATGAAGTCTAGAAATATTAATACATTTGCTACCCACTTTCCTATGGCTAGTTTATTTAGAATTGAAGTCCGGTGGGGCTTATTCCTGCGAAAGTGGGTATAAAATTTGGTTCATTATTCAGGAGAAGTAAACTGTTGATTTGAAAAAATTGCAAAAATCAGCTGGCTGATGAGACAGGTTGAAAAAATTAAAGAAGTGTAACTATAAGCACTTGGCACAAGAAACCAGTTAGATTTTCATGAAATATATTTCATGTAATTTTTATGTTCCTCATGTTTCCATTGTCTTATTTTGAATACAAACATTTTTAAAAAGTTGTTGTCTAAACTCATTTAAAAAATAAGTTATGTAGAAATTTTGGTTTTTATTACATTTCTGAAGCTGAACAAAACCAAAGCAAATATCTAGTTGAACTGGAGAAAACAACTGAGTGCAAATTTAATTTGTCCCCCCAAACCCAAAACAAACAAACAAACAAACCCTAGTAATTTTTCCTTGCATGGCGTACTATGGTTTACTTTACTGAACATCCCTAAATATTTTTATTGCTTAAGAATTCTAAAAGTTCCATTAAGTTAAAAAGCATTTTCATCACAAAATCCAAAGAAAAATGCTGTTCATCTGGCAAAGACACTTGTAAATCTAAGTTCCATGGGGGTGGGGGAGATATCCGGTATTTACCATATGTCCCAATACCCTTAATATAAAAAAGTCTGGGAACACATGCAAAAGATGTGTTCGCCCAACAAGATCATCTGTTAACCATTGTACGGGCACTGTTCATGTCTTTTCTTCAAGTCCAGACTAAATCTGGGCTATAAAGTTTGGCTTTTCATCCTTCAGAGTTACCAGCTTTCTTTTAGGAGGGTGGAGGAAGAAAGACAGAAAGAGGCACAAACACAGTGAGAAAGGATCTGAACTCTTCAGAATGAAATTGTCTTTGACACATGGCGTCCAAGTGACATACTACCTTAATTATAATGGCTTTATTTTTACATGCAAATGGATTTACGAAAGGAATAGACAATTATATTTTTCTTCTCAACAGGAACTCGGGCTTGTTTGTTTATCTGAATGATCTTTTATCAGCACAGCAGTTCTATAATTCAAGGCAGCTTTTCTCTGAAAGTAACCAAGATGAAAATGGCAGGTAGAGATGCAGCTGTGCAAAATTACCACAATAGAACTTAAATTACAGTATCAAATGTGGAAGCGATTCCAAGGAATATCTGGTACACGCCCCGAGCCTCCAAATGTGAAATTCTGTGATCAGAAAACTCCGACTTTCATTTCCAAGAGTAACTAACTCCTAATAAAACAGGACTATCTAAAATTTCCCAATGATTTAGCCACTATTTAACACTGAAAAAACTATGAAAATCTTTTCCCAGAGCAAGTTTCTTTCTACAATAATTTAAGTCTAGACTTAACAAAATGTTTGTATCAGGTTAATGTGCTCGTTGCTGCGTGAGAGGTTTATTTATAAGCATATTTTATTTGTCACAAAATGTGTGAGATGTTTGTGCACATGTACGCAAATTATCATTTATCAAAATCAAGCACCCCATATTATTTTCTTTTTTTTCCAAACTATGCCTAGCAAAACAACAACAACAACTGTACTAGAAATGTAAGGAAGCTACCAGGTATTGAGTTGCATCTATTCTAGGAGGTAAAATCAGGCTACTACTGTCAATAATATAGTGTGGCATCTGCAAGACACTCAGCTTTCTATACCTTTTAAAGTGGTTTAAGCAGGTTAGCTTACATTATTAAAGGCATCATAATCTCTTATATTTCCAGTTTAAATCTTCTCATGTTTACAGAGCCATCATCCAAAGGGCACTGTTGGGGAGACCTCAAAAGACTTGCAATATAAAAGGAAATTCTTAAGGGGGGAGGGATGAATGCCAAAATGTCATTATAGCTAATCAATGGCATAAAATGCTAACTCAGAGTTAAACTACTCAATACTGTAGGTCTAGCTCTGAATTAAATATAAGAATGTTTGGTGTTCCTTTTTGACAGTGTTTTCCCTAATAGTATTTTTCCCCAGAGGAAGAAAGATAAACTAGTTTGAAGATTTATAATAATGTATCTAGGATTGTTCCATTTCCCCCCCTCCCAAAAGCAAAATGGAAACCTCCTGAAAAAATACCCCAATTATAACTTCATATGTATAAAATGCTAACTCACAGGAAGAAAAAAAAAACCTAAAAGAAATGCAGAGGAGAAAAAAGAAAGAAAGAATTGAAACAGAAAGGCAGAACTCTAAACAAAGACAATCAACACCATTGCAGTTTGTTGCAAAGCTCCATTGAAAGTTGCTTAAATCTTCATTTATTTTCCAACAGATTCCAATATTTGAGGACACAGTCTTGCATTTATCTAGCCCCAGTGTGACATTTCCCTGATGCGCTGTTTATTTTTTTAAAAAAAATAATAGTCTGGATCGTATCATTTATATTGCTTTAATACGATTCTGTATAAGCACAGAGAAAGAAAGTCCTAAACGTTTTCTAAAATAAATGAATAAACCGAGCAGAAGCTGTGGGGGGTCGTGCTGGAGGGAAGAGGAGGTGGCCAGCTTCAGGGCTGGCTTCATTTTATTCTTATTCTGGCTATGGAAATGAAAGGGCTTTGTTTTCAATGGATTCAACACTTCCCTTAATTTGCTGTGGAGTCTCTGCTTTCTGTTTAAGTGACAAATCACTGAAAATGTCCATAGTGGTTATCACTGACTGTTTTGACCATGCCCTATGGACACCCTGCACCTGTCCATATCTAGGAAAGCCTATTTGGAGCCCATGCAGTACATTTAAGATGCAGAGTTTCCCTGAGACAACGTAGGGAGACATGCCTGCTAGTTAGCAGCAGTAGAATTCCTCTGCACCCACAGCTGGAGAGGCTTCTCCAGTCCCTCCTAAGGTCCTCTGGACAGATATTTTGGAAGGGAAGTAAAATTACTTTCTTACTTATAGTAAACCCAGTTAGAAGAGAATATTTGTAGCTCAGAGCTGAACTGTGGCGCACTCATGATTGTACCTAGTCAGATAATGAAACATCTGCAAGTAAGCAACCACACTCAGAGAGTACCAAGGACCTCACAGTAATCCCAGCGTTGTAATTTTTCTCTCTGAGTAGCATGGAGATTGATTTACCTTTACTGCTCTTTTGGGTGTTTCAGCCAAGATTGGAGGGAGGATACCTTTGTAGAAACCAAACAAGCTATTGAATAAAGGAAGACAAAAAAGAACATTAAAAAATACCCAGGTATGTATGAACATTAGCCAAGTGGTAATTCTGTTTTCATTTCAGAATAAAACAACTAATCTCAAGGCTTTCTTAATTATTCAGAACAGCCCTTATTGTCAACAACTGAGTTCTGGTTTTGTACATATTGTGTAACTATTGCTGCGGTCCTAAAGTTTTCCTGAGATAATACCACTGACTTCAACAGGATTAAACTGGAATAAATTCTTTGAGGACTGTAGTCCAAATTTTAGTTTACACTGAAACAAGAAGCATAATTGCAACTAAACACAAATGCAACCCATAGAACCTATGCAGATTAGATTACTTTTTTTGTAAATAGAAAGCAACTTTTTCTGCGAAAGAGAAAACGAGGTGGGGGGTAGGATTGATTTATTTACTGCTGACTGTTTAAGTAGTCAGGCTTCAGGCTGGCAACATCATATTTAATAAAGGAAAATGATTACAAAAAGTGAAAAGAAGGCTTGGAGAAGACATTTTGGTTCTTTGGAAATGTGATTCAATGTGCAAGTTGACTACTTGGCAATTTAATTTTATTATTAGATTTGAGCATATTTTCCTTAAACCAATCCAGTTCAATTACTTATGTCAAGTCAACTGAATCTGAGTTTTTGTGTGGAATCTGTATAGCATTATACTGTCCTCCTGTGGCCCTTTGTTACCATTTTATAACTAGATTTCCTTTAAAGAAAATAGTGAAAGCGGATTCTAAAAGGCAGTGCTGCTTTCTAAGACACAACAAATGCATCTCAGTGCTTTTATTAAAGGTAGTCCATAGCAAATTCTGTGGCGTGGATCATACAGAGGAAAGAAATGTGTACTGTGCCACTCTTTCCCTCCTTCCTTCTTACAGCCCTTATCCAACCTTAGAAGATTTTCAAGAGACAGGATTAAGAATGAGCAAAAATTATACCAAGGCTTCGGTAGCTGCAGTGCCAATCCATTTCCAAGCTATGGTATTGATTTTTAAAGCTCTGAACAGCTGGGATATCTCAGCAATGCCTCTTCCAATTAAGAACTTGCCTGGGTTCCTCTTGGGTGAATCTTTTGGTCTGCCCCTGCCAGGAGCAATGAACAGGGGCTCTGCTTATGGAATACCCTTCCCAGGGAAACATGACTGATGCCCAGTTTGAATGACTGTTCAAGGCCAGAGAAAGGGCGTTGTTTACTTGAACGCCTATTCTCAGCATGATGATGGAGAATTCACCAATGGGGTGAATTCTCCATCCAATCATGCTGGAGAAAGGGTGTTGTTTACCTGAACGCCTATTCTCAGCATGATGATGGAGAATTCACCCCATTGGTAAATTCTCCATCCAATCATGCTGGAGAAAGACATTTCTATCCTCTCAAGTATTTTTTTGGTTCTGTATTCAAATTGAGGATGGACCTTGCTTTATACTGGAACAGTGTATTTTTTATGCTTTCCATGCTATCAGTTACATTTACCACACTATTATTTAAAAGCTTCTAATATTTTGTAATTTTCACATGACTTTCAGCAATAGAGAGAAGCCTACCTAACACCCACATGACTTAGTTTTCACTTCATATATGCATACATTGTGTGCTACTGTTATACTGAATATGGCTTAATTTAAAGATAGCCCAAAGGACAGATAGACTCATTGCGGATAGAAATTACAAATAGTATATAGAGAAAATACATCCAGATGTCGGAGGCAGTTATTTTATAGTCACAGAGTGAAGGAAATGAACAATGAGACTTTAGAAGATGCAGGTAGGTCTGCTACCCAAATATTAATCAAACCCCATTACTTTTATAATTATTACCAACAGTTCCCCCCCAGTTATTACTTTTATAGTTAGATTTAATCAGGTATTGTGCTGAAGACTGATGACTGATACACAGATGGTTCTAAAGGTTTTACAAATCTGAAATATTTTCTGTTTTAGATTAAATACTTTTTTCTGCCTGCTCTGTCTTTATTTAGACTGTTTTTATACTTTTGTTGCCATCCTAGGACAAGCACAATTCCAGCCCCCAAGATCATATTTTTGAATTTGAAAGAGTTAACAATTACATGTTAAAGTGAAGCACAGTTAAAATGCATTATTTTGTTTCAACATTAAGCATCTAAATGAACATCACCATTCAATTGTGTTCTGGGCAACCACCCAAATTTGTCTTTGCTATAGTTGATTTTGAAACATTACAGTCAATCATATCTTCCCAATTTGTTCTTCTTTAAGGCTTTAGGCATCCTTCTGGTTTCCATTTCTTGTTTGGAAGCCTTGAGTCATCCATTTTGGCAAAATGTCCAACCCAAATCAGTTATTTTCTCCAAATTATATTGAAATTGGGATCTTGCTTAGTTTGTTGTTTTCCTCCCCTGTCTCTCACATAATTTTCCCTTTAAGGATCAAATACAAAGCTGATTGAAGGCATGCATATAATATCCTCTTTCTTCAGTTGCTGTCAAATCCAAGCCTGTTACCCACATAGCTCTATAATTGAAACAATGACAGAAAGTACCTTTAGGGCCATATTCACTTGCCTTGCATGAATCAGGGGTTCACATAATTTAGATGAATTACAGAGCTCGGCAGTGTATAGATGTACAGAATGATCAGTGTGCTAAATGTACATTACTGGAATTCAGAGGATCTTTTCAGTCAGGCAAATTGGAGATAAGGGTTTGGGTTTTTTTGTTTTTTGTGTGGGTTTTTTTTTGCATTCCTTGTATTGTGCAACTCATATTTCCACTGAAACCTGAATACAGTCAGTCCAATTTTTATTCAAAAGAAACCAAAGTCTGAAAGCTTTTGTTGCTTGCTTCTTCGTATTCTTTCTTTTTTTGCTTTTATAATTATGGTGCATGAGAAATAAACCTGTAGGAGTTAGGCTTACAGTAACTAAAACAAAATCAGTTTATCAGTTAATGTTTTGTGGCATATCAGTAACCTGAAATAAAATGTAATAAGGTCTTACAATTATCCTTCTTCTTAAATTTAAAAACTCTATTTTATATACAGTGTGGCTTTTTCATTAGATATCTAATAAATTTTAAAAAATGAATGAAAGAAAGATATATTACGTTGGACTAGCAAAGTGAAATTCATCTCATTTGCTGGTTTCTCTTTTACTTCGATTTCAGTTATTATTAACTGGATGCATTATTCAAGTATGTATGAATTTACACATATTCATTTTAGAATTGTATAAGAAAAAAGTGTTTAATGATAATGTGTGTAACATTTAACATTGTGAATACAACTCCATAGTATGGATGAAATTTAGCTGTAAAAATTGAAATAAAGATACAAAATGCATATTCAACGGTTAATCGAATGCAGTTGAAAACAGACCTCATGTTTCAAGGACCCCAGGCTTTGCAATTTGGATGTACTAGTACCTCCAGGTTTCATACACCGAATTAAATGCATTCGGGATAGTCAGAGTGAAACTATCCTACTTCAATCCAGGGAAGTTTAGAATTTATTCAGGTGCATTATTTAAAGTGATCGTCCTCTGAGGTTTGTTTTATTAAACCTTTTTTAAAAAAATATATGTGCCATACAGTCTCATTTTGTAGCTATAGACAATTTATAAACTATACATTAAGCATATAAACCAATTTTACTCAAAACTGTAAAAAACCTATTTCACATTTGATATCTTATTTTGCTATTATTGGAGAACTATCCTGAGAAAAACTTGCAGTGCCCTTCTCCCTTTTCTCATCTGGGTTTGGGTCTCTTCCTCTGCTCTGTCAGGACACAGGCTAAAAGTGTTCAAAACATTATTGAGAATTTGCAGAGTCTTGGATAGATAGGCATGGATGTGCTAAGTAATGAAAGACCCCAATAATACATACAAGCAATCTTATAGAGTCAGTTTCACCTATGGGATTTCAAACAGCACAAAACTATTAGCTAATCCACAGTTAGTCACCTACACATTTCTAAGCAAGAATGTTTTTTGTTTGCACACCTATATCATAATATGGGTATTTCAATAACAACCTACTATAAAGTTTGCCTTGTTATTTATAGTGACTGTTCTGAACCGCAGTGGGCAATTGCACCACATACAAACTGCATCTTTGCGACGATAGTAAACATTTACTTATTATTCTGAACTGCATCGGCTAATTGTGCACTCTAATAATGAAGTCTGCTTGGCTAGAGCCAAACCTCTTTATTAGGATCAAAGTCCTAATAAATCCCACAAATTCCTCTGAGTTCAATTATTTTCTGCAGTATCTAAAATATAGTTCCACATGTTAGGTTTGATAGCTTTTAATTCTAGACTTGCAGTAGAACTTAGTATTTGATCATGTTTAATAGCTAATATAAATAGCATGCTGTATTGGACAGGATAAAAGTGCTGATAGAACATGAGATGTTACTCAAATCAACAAATTCAATTGAATTTCCAATAAGAGAGCAAAATCTTACACGTAGAGTGCAAATTTGTATTTCGCATTCCGTATCTCATAAGAACATAAGCAGTGCCTGCTGGATCAGACCCTGGGCCCACCTAGTTCAGCAGTCTCATTTTCATAGCGGCCAACCAAATTCACAAGTGTGCAGCAGATGGCTTCCAGAGGCAGTCCCATGGCCATCAAGGCCATCCTACAACATTTGGGGGGTTGGGGGCAAGATAAGCTGAACTAACAAATCTCAAATACCTTCCAGCATGGAGTGTTTTATCTTGATCCTTTCAATATGTATTGAAACAGCTCTCAGTAAAGAAAGTCTTAATATTTCCCATTCATAGGAACACTGCAACACACCCATAGGAAGGGGAAGGAGCCCATAAAATAATTGAGAAGCCTATCACAAACCCTTATAAGCAGAAGAATACTGATATTAACATCCCCTAAATTCGGCTGAAGATGTTACCAAGTCTGGTAATGAAATGTTTGGAAACCAACCCACAAGCTTGCAGAATGAACTTCCACTTTCATCCTACACCCGAGCTACGGATA